ACCTGAGTCTCAGCTCGCGTGACTATGCTGTAGAGATGGCTTTGGGCAGTGGAGAAATGTTTAGTTTTGCATACGCCACTTAATGACAATAGTTCACTAATTAACTGACTACAATTACCTTGAGCACTAGGTTTTAACTATATATTTGAATGGATATATGTACGCTACACAAAGGTTTTTAGCATGTGTGACAATCGTTTTTAGTATTTTGCAATAATTCTTCTGGCACGTGGGACAATATAGTTGCATTGTATAGGCAAGTCATAGAACGTTTTTTCTTATTTGTACTGTTTCCATATTTTTGAATAACAATGACCAAAAAGTGTTAAACAATTCAAACTCTCAAACTCAATTCAAAATCTTCTATTTTAGACTGCTTTAGGAATTAGAACTTCATTGCCCTTTTTACAGCTTAACAGCATCTGGATCATTCTCTCAAGCAGCTTCATGAGGAGAAACCCGAGATGCTCTTCCAACAGGACTGAAAAATCATCATATGCTAAGACTGCACTGATGAAAACCACTTGTGTGCGTGGAGGGGAGCGGGTATTTTAAAAAAACACTTTGTTTTTAAAAACAAATTTCAGATCAAAATGTCGTCAAGATTACGGAAAAATACAAATTCAGTCAGGCATGTGCAAACTTTTGACTGGATGTACAATTCTTACACAGACATTACCCCATTGTCCCCACTCTCTCCATCTACTTATACGACCTCAGAAAGTTGCCAATGTGTCAGCTGAAAGAACCTGGATGTCACTGAATATAGCGAGTTGGAGAAGCTCCAAGACTAAAAGATGTTCCTCCGAAAATGTACATAAAATGGATTTTGCAAGTATCAGAGAGCTTGGAAGCATCACTCCCTGTCACAGCATGGCTGAGCTTCCCTGTTTACAGCATGGATTTTTTACAGAAGAGGGCCTTGGAGAGGAGAAAAACAGCCTCTCGAGAAGAACACGGAGAACATGAAGGAACACACAGTACAACAGTGTGACATCAACAAGCAGCACAGATCTAGACACACAAAATGCATTCTGGCTGCCTGCAAAACAAACTCCCTTGGAGAGACAGCAAGAGATACCATCCATGTTTTCAGAGACCATGAAAGATTTAGTGCAGAAACCTGCCTAATTCAGGCCATCAGGATCTTTAAGGTGAGTTACCATGACACAGGTTGTCAGAGCCAGCAGGGGAAGGTGAGAGAGGGAGCAGTCATTTAATGCATATTTGGTTATGCATTAAATATGCATGGGATGAATTACATTCTATTCCTGGGCTCTGTTGAGGAATCCACAATGGGCTCCAAAAAACCTAAAAGGTAATCCTTCCTGCTCGGTAAAAAAGCACTGTGAAATTCAGAGGATAAGCAGTGCTTTTTTACCCTCTCTAACTCCTGTATAATAACGCTGTTGGCAAAGCAGTTTCCAAAATCCACACAGAGCAAATATAAATTACATGCCAAAGAGGAGAAAGCGCACAGCATCATTAGCAGCAGATTTAAGTAAAGGGGGAAAGGGACAAACGTGATTCTAATAGATCATTTTCTGAATTTCATAACAGGCCTACATTAAAAGAAGCTTTTCTTTTTTTATGTTCTCAGTTTTTTTCCACTGAACATTTTGAGTGAATATTTATGATATTGATTGGTAGTTAGAGGTTTTATAGCAATGACCACAAGAATAACAATGCTCAAATAATAGTCAATACAGCAGTTTACATGAGAGGACAGAGGTGGCTAAGGATCCATGATATGGTCAAAATTCCACATTGCAATTACTTTGTGGCATACTGTGATATAAGGATATAGATATTAGGTAAACGTTGTCCTACAATATTTTTGTCATTTTTGACCAAAATAACTCGCCTTGATTCATCCAAACATCCAAAGAACATCATCTGGACCTTCTAAGGTTGGTCAGAATGCTCACAACACATAAAACATTCTGTGATTGGCCAACATTCGCATATTGATACCTTTTCCAATATCAATAAAGGCCAATATCCTGATGACAGTAAATAAACAATATACTTACAATACATAAACAATATACTGTCCAGTTCTCAAAAGGAGTTAAGATTAGGTTAAGGGTTATAAGGGCTAGTCTTGTCTGAGCACTTGCTGTCAGACTGGTCCTATCAGCAGGTCCAGCAACAGGTTTAGACCAGCCTCTGGTCAGACATGAAAGGGCCAGCGCATTGTGAGGGAGTGTGGATGGGGAAATGAGAGGCTTCTGAAGACAGGTTGTTGGAGTTAAGAGTGGGCCATAACCACTGAACAACTCAAGCATCGTCGTTATTTGAAAGGTCAAGCACTCTAGGACTTTCTTTCTCATTGGCATCCACTGGCAGGGCAGGAATGGACTATTTAAAGACAGCAACATTACATCTCCGCACCACAAAGTCTGATCATCAGCGCCTTCCACAGTGGCATATTTCCTGAGGAGTCTGATAAAAGGTCTGGGGAGGAGATTAAGAACAGGAATTGAGCATTACAATCATTCACTAGAGGGAAGTAATATGTTCTCTGTACAAGGCTTGAATGAGTTTGTGAATTGGATGCTTGTTTCCACAGCTATTTTCAATGCTGATATTTACCTGTAGCTTACTTAGTGAGAAAAGTATTAATAAGTGATTAATTAAATAAATGGGGATCCTGTCTGGCCCAGCCATCTTAAGCAGTGGCCACCAAACCTGCTCCTGGAGATCTAACTTCCTGAGGAGTCTAGATGCAATCCTTATTAATCCCAGTTGATCCATTCAATAGTTGCCCCCAGAGGTTCTTGACTAGATGAATGAGTTGTGCCAGACTTGGGTTGGTGAAACTTGGAGGAAGGCAGATCTTGAGGAAGAGGGTAAGTGAACACTGGCCTAAATGCTGGCCCTATGGTGGAGAGTTTTGCGAGTTTGATCCCTGGTGATGCCAGTGGAGTCCATGGCCCAGGGTCTAAGAGGGCATAACTGTCCTCATACTCTCTGGGTGGGTAGGATGGCCCTCCATCTCCTGCCATCACTCAGCATGATGCCAGCCAACGAGAGTGCCTGTTAGCTGATGTAACAGAATTGGCAGTTAGTGTGTTGTGATGTGGATTGACCACCCAGTTTGAAAAGATGCGCTAGTGCTTGACTTGATGGAAGCATATACTAGCCCTCATCCTCCCATCTTGGCAGCATCATCTGACAGAGGGAGACCTAGCCAGCAGGCGGAATTGGCAATGACTAAATTGGGGATAAAAGTAGGAAAATATCCAAACGCAACCGTCTAAGCGCCAAGACAGGAGCCAACAAATCCCGCCCTTTTACCTGCTTCTACCTACCTAAGCCTTCTGTATGTTCTTCCCTTAGCCTTGTGTTTGGCCAGAGTTTGCTCTTAAAATCAATACAAGAAACACAATTCAGACAGCCACTTCTGTATACACAATTACTTCCAGCAAAATCTAGACTGTGCATATTTAAATAGTGATACACCCGAAAAGAAGAGGCTAAATCTAGACTAAGCTCTAATTCAGTTTATTGTGTATAATTTATCATTTCTTTCCTACACATTTACCCCCCATTTCTTCACTTGGAAGAACAGGAGGGATCAATAATGTGCATTAAGCAATATCCTTCTCTTATTGACTTGTGTTTGGCCTCATAAGCGAAGGTGGTTTTTGCAGCAGCCTCAACACAAAAAGTAAATATGTCCACACAATCAATGGCAAGCCTGACTGTGTCATCGGGAGGTCGGTGCTTCAGTGTGTCAAGTAAACAATAAAATAAATAAATAAGTAAATAAATAAACAAACAAATAAATGAGCAAGTAAACCACTTGCAGTGCCAAGCAGCACTAGTAACTGATTCAAGTCAGACTGGCAATAAAACATAATAACAAGTCATTGGAGCTCGTCCTTCAAAACCCTCTATTCAGAAATGGAGACAGATCGATCTGGTACTTTACAGATGCTAAAGCTACTCAAACCTTTTCTTCTGGGTTGATAACAAGAGGAAAAGAAAATACACCAAAGAGAGAAAATGGATAAACAGTGCGTGTGTACAGTGGGTGCTTTCCGCAGCTATAAAAAATCTACTGTTTACTGGTGCTTTGTTCTGGAGGGCACTCATTCAATATTGTTGTGAAGTAAGAAATTTTCCATACTACATGTATAACGTATTTTACTTTTTATTGAAAAGCAACAGGTACTTCATATGATTGCACCACATACATAGCTAAGAAGTAAATTGAACCCATTGACCTTAAATCCTTCAAGTTCTTTTAGAGCACTGACAAAAGCACAAAGAGGGCTGCAAGTAGCACTTGCAGAGTCAAGAAGCATCTTTTGCAGCATTCAAATAGGAATTTACAGAAGGATGAAGAATTTGGATAGTTATATATCACTCACAATGTACAGTGCTAGAAGTAGTCTTGGGACACCTCTGCCATCATTTTTCTAGAACTATTTTATTTGTTAATATGTTATGGAAATTGTGTGTTACTATATACAAAAGTGCATAATTTCAGCTATATTCTAACTTATGAGTCAATGCTTTTGGGTCCAACAGCACATTAGCAAACTAGAAAACTTTCACCTAAACCCCCATTTTACTTACTAATACAATAACACATCTTTTACAAGGAAGAAACTTACATTTTTTTGCAAATTTTAGTGCACAATTTCTATTTATTTATTATTTATTATTATTATTTGGGTTTCTTATGTTAAACACAGTAAATAAAAAGCAAGTGTGGTTAAGCGTGTTCTCTGTAGTGGATGTGTTAACTTATTTTCACTTAGAAAATTCAACAAAACATGCTGACCGCCCAAACTTTTGCATTAAATTATTCACTGTAAATTTCAGAATCAAGTGTGAAAAATGTGTACTCAGTGCCTTAAAGAATGGATGTGCAACAAAGCACGAACTTAAACCTCGTAACTTTTCTGACGGACTCAACTAGAGACGGGCCAACAGCACTTTTTCCCTTCCAATATTTGAGTCAAATACACAGTTACTGGCAGTCTTACCTGGTAGGTGTCCCATAGCCGGATAGTGCAGCGCAAGGGCAGTTCCCTCATCAGCAGGTTATTCATCCAGCGGAAGGCAAACTGCAGGTACTCCACCTCATAGTGCTGCATGTGTCGATGCACCGTCTCTGTACAGGGCAAAAACACATGAGTCAGCGTGTTAGTAAAGCACTGTACATACACACACACACACACAACTCACAGAGCACTGTATCACAGTTCTCTTTAAAGAAGTTTCATTTACCAATAGGGGAAAATGTGGGGAAAATATCCCTCTTAAATACAATTTACTGTAACGCTAAACTATATCTGTGCATGAATTTAGTATTCACAGAATGATGATGCAAAAACCTACACAATGTAAATAAACTGAAACAGCAGTCATTTTGATTTTTATAGCACAAGAAAGGAATCTTGTAAAGGTGCGATAGTGGGGCAAGACACCCCCTGTCTGGGTTGAGAAGTCCCCCTAATGAATCTTGCATGAATTTGCATCAATTTGTCATCTACATTTTACAGAATGTATAATTACAAAATCATTTCTAGTATTTGCCTTCATCAAAAAATGTAACTAATCAAAGTACAACACTAAAAATATAATATTTTAAAATGAAATTGAGGCCTCTATCAGCTTACGTCTTAATGATTCCAAATCACTGAAAGCATTATGACAAATTCCAGTAACAGAAACATTTGAAATGTCAATTTTGATCATTAATTACACAGTTTTCATGATTATATTAGTTATGTATTGTATTTAACATATTCTTTTCAGTGTATTATTATTGTATCTTTTTGTGCAACAACAATAATATGACAGAACAAATCAGGTGTGGGTGTAACTCTGCCAAGCTGCAAAACTCATATACAACCTTAGATGCCTACAAAGATTTCCTAATTCTAGCTAACGATCACTGTAGCTACCTTGTACTGCGAACTCTAGCTAGCCAGTGAAAGTCCAGTGAACACCTCTGTGTCTTTATATGACAATCTAAGTAAATAATAATGTTTTTAGGGCAATGTGCTAAAATGGGCCTTTTGCCCCATGTCTGGGGAGACGTCTTGCCCTTAAGATCTAACATCATGTTTTCACTTCAGAAAAAAAAAATCCATCTCAAAACCAAATGCACTGCTTTTTCCACAATCCTTCCCCCAAAATTCTACATTAAAAAGGAAAAGATCACTGTTATCCACTACACAAGATTAACTGACTCCAAAACGTTTCCCGGGGAATAAATTCCAGGAATGTCATCATCCATATGAAATTTCAGAATTTGTTAGAGCAGTGATTTTCAATCTGTGGGCTGTGGCTGCACAGGGGGCAACTGGCAATGCAAAATATCACTACAATATACAGACATTTAGACATTTAACCAAACCAATAATTTCAAATATGCCAAATATAAATATGAAAATTATTTGCAAAAATAAAACATCAAAAATACCTAAATATTAAGGTTGTGCTCAGTGACTGTTCTGGCAAAATGCATGACCAATGTAACAAACATAGCCAGCTAGACAATAATAAGGCAATGTAAAATGCATGGAATTGATCCATCATGGATAAACTGATTTTTTTGTTTGCTTATTACTTTTTTACTTAATATTTTTTGTTTGACTATAGCCTAGTGAATTAGTCTAGTGAAGCAGCTATATGTGCTTGTATTGAAACAGTTTGGACTGTAATGCATTAAATGTGCTAAACAACATCCACCCACTGCTAATGCGATGCCCAAACACATGAACAGTGAACAAACTGTCTTATTTTTAATCTAACACAAAAGATACATACACACATGCATGCACATGCACACAGAATCACAAATAGCAGCAGCATAATGCGTTAATAAATCCATAAAAGCCTTCCTCGGTCCATAACATCACGCAGACAGCGCTGTCACTCAGGCTAGGGGTAATTACTTGTCTGTCAGCAGAGTGATCGGAGCGTGTTGCATTCAGGAGAAAAACTGCGGTATTACTGATGGTGCTTTTCCTTAATCAGCCATGGGCACAAGGGAGGAGAGAAAATACAGCGCGACGCACCTTCAGGCCCCAGCAGAAATGAAGGCATCTTCATACGGCTCCTAATAAAGAGCATGTTCTGGGCCTGTCATAAGCATGACAAGAACCAGCCACGGACCTTGAAGGAGCACATGCACTTTCCCTCTCCCTCACACACACACACGCACACACACATGCACACACACACACACACACACACACACACACACACACACGCACACACACACACACACACATCCCTCTCACTCTCTCTTTGACACACAGCGCAGTGGTGTGTGATTTCACACCTGTCTTCACAGAGTCATTTACACTTTGAGCCACTTCACATAAACAGCTTATTCTCATTAACACTGAATACGGCACACTCGCAGATATACACAAGCAGACTCAAAATCTCAGAGAGAGGATGTAATGTACAGACATGCTCACCTGTCTGTTATAAATAACAGCAAGTGCTAAAATCGTACATTACAAAAGAGACTTGGTGTGGTGAATATATCGTAGAGCTGTCACAATTACTGGATTAGAAACAGTCAAAGAGAATTTACCATATATGTTAAATTCTGCTACAGGTCTCTCTTCAGCTGGCTTTATGCTGTGAAATTTCCATGCAACTTTAGTTGCTCAAAACCTCTTGAAACTGCACTTGAATTGCATAATGTCAAGCATCTTCCAACCTATGAAAAATGCAACAGTTGAAAGAATCTGAACATTTGATTGTTCTGATTCATATATCAAGAACATCACGGTATCAAAAATACTGTAACATGTAACTTTGTTTTTGAATTGCTTCGTGTAACTGGTAAATTTTACAGAAATTATGATGCATGCAACTCGCAACATTCAACTAGTTGCATAAAAGTTTCACTGTATAAAGCCAGCCTTACAGTAAGAAACAGAGCCTGATGGATTCACGTATAGCAGACACGTAAAGTCATGAACAGTGAAAAGGGTGAGTTCAAAAACCAATTCCCTGTAGCAAAGTCTGGTGTCATTGTTCCTAATAGAACATTTTAGTGAATTTAACATGACACTCTAGTGCACTGTGAGACTAAACTACTGGGGTAAGTGCAGTGGAATTATGTAGCTCATCAAATTCAACAACTAGAAGTCATGTCTAAATACTGTACTGTTTTATAGGCATTTTGATATACTTGTTAAAGAATCTGTAAGCTCATCATACCAAGGTCAAAAGGTCAGAGTTTTCAACATTTGGTACAGACCACACATCTATTTTAAACAGAGGCCATTCTAAAATCTGCATTATCATTTGTGTTCTACTGGCTTCATGAGGCACCCTGTGCTTGGACCCCCTCCATGTCTGCCAACTGCAATGGAATTTTTAGGCGGTCAATAAGCTCTCATAGAACATATGACAGTTTAGTTTAGACATAAACAAAATGATAGCTGGTTGTCTTGGTTTCTAACTATTATCATTTACACATATTAACTTCTTTTTCCCCACCATTCAAAAGCCACTGCAGAAAGAAATCTGAATCTGTGAAAATTAAACCAACTTCACCGCTCACAAAACATGGCTCTTTTATGTTTCAGTAACATCTCAGTTCTTACTGGTCAATAAATATTAAATGTATCTATAGTTGGGCCGAATAATGCCTGTGAACTGCTGCTGTGCTGTGTTTGGGTGAGAGGAGGGATTCTCCCTCAGAATCATGTGTGGACATTCTCTGTCTTTTGGCACCTTTGGGACATCAATCTTAAAAAAAAGCAATGTATAAATGTGTAAAATTATTTAGCGAGCTAGGTCTCCACCAATCGCACAATACTTCCAGCACTGGGCAGGTGAAGGCTAGAACCATTTTCCCCTAAGTCTTGTAAAGCCATCCACTGCATCTTTTCTAGTAGAGCACAATGCTAATGCTTTGCTAAACGGACAGCTGAACGTGTCTGAAGAAAAACACAAACTGCTAATTCTGTTACATCTGTTAACAGATGCCCATGCTAGCTAGCATCATGCTGAGTAATGGGGGAGAGGTAGGACCATACTACCGACCTAAAGAGGGCAAGTCCAATTATGGTCACGGATGGCTTATTATGGTCACGGATGGCACGGATGGCACCAGGGATCAACCATGCAATCTCCTGACGGTGGTGCCAATGCTTAGAATGTTGTGAACGTACTGAAAGAACATACTTAAAATTATAGCTAATTTTAAAATTTAAATATTAAGAAATATACCAAGGATGAGTATTCAAGAACTTGTTTGGAAACACCAACAAGCATTCGAAGCCTGTGAAATGCTGTCCAGGCCAGCCCTAAACGACTACTAATATATTTGATAGTGCCGACTTTACTATAAACAATGACGCTTTCCTGTTTGCTTCTATAGCTGCAGCCTAGAAGGAAAAAGTAGTTTACCTTCATATTTAAGATGATATTTGAGAATACTGTAAGAGAGTCTATGATGATAATGTCTGCATATGGTTGTAAGTTCTTTCTCTCAGACACGCAGGAACAAAACAGAGCACATTCTGGGTGGGGGAGGACAGGCCGGGGTCAGAGATCAGAGAAAGACAAGTGAGGCGCTCGCTCTGTTTCTGCTGAGCAGCGGACTTCTGCGTGACTTCTGCTCCCTCTCATCCATCCCATAATTACATCCGCACTGGCCTGCTGTTTCCAGGCCACTCTGCGTTGGATAAAGATACTGTACTGCTCTCATGCAGCCAGCTCATTCTCAAAGCCCACCACCAGCTCTTCCAGAGGGGATTCCATTCACCAGTGTATGATCTGGCTGCCAAGGCTGTGGAATAACTTAAAAGAAGATAGAGCTTTGCATGTGAAACTGAATAGGTTTTAGTTTATGGAGCAGATTCATTTTTAACACAACATGGTATTAAAAAAAGACTACAGATAGTATTGAAAAATCAACTGTCTTTTTTTTCATTTATAAACATGAATGCTGCATTCAGATAAAATTTCTGTAAAAAATTAAACTGTCCAATTCAAAACATAAGTAATTAATGCTTTACATGTGCATTAAATCTGCTATAATGCATCAAATATGTTAAAAACACTCAATAAATACACAAGTTGAGTACTGTGGAGCTAATCATATATTTTTAGTAAGATTATTAACAAATGATC